TGCCTAAAACTCAAAAGATCACCTTATCTTCTCCAGTGTGTTTCTTACAGCAAAAGTTACCTAAAATTTAAAAAAAAAAAAAATGTTTTAAAAAGATGGTTCAGGCCTTTTCGTCAAGATGGCGCCAAAGCCAAGGCCTTGAAAGCCAAGAAGGCAGTACTGAAAGGCCACAAAAAGAAGATCCGAACTTCGCCCACCTTTCGGTGGCCCAAGACCGTGCGGCTACGAAGGCAGCCTAAATACCCCCGGAAGAACGCGCCCAGGAGGAACAAGCTTGACCACTATGCCATCATCAAATTCCCCTGACCACCGAGTCAGCAATGAAGAAGATAGAAGACAACAACACACTTGTGTTCATTGTGGACGTCAAGGCCAACAAGCACCAGACAAACAGGCTGTGAAGAAACTACGACATCGATGTGGCCAAAGTCAACACCCTCATAAGGCCCGACGGAGAGAAGAAGGCGTATGTTCGGTTGGCTCCTGATTATGATGCTCTGGATGTTGCCAACAAGATTAGAATCATTAAACTGAGCCCAGCCGGCTAATTCTAAATATACACTTTTTCACCATTAAAAAAAAAATAGATGGTTCAGTGGGCAAAATGCTTGCTATGCAAACAGGAGGACCTGAGTTCATATTTCTAGCACCCATGTAAAAACCCACACAGAAACATCTGTAATCTCAGCATGGGGAAGTAAAGACAGGAGTGGAATACCCCGGGGGCTTGAGATCAGCCAATCACTGAAACCCACATCCAGTGAAAGAACCTTTTTCAAAATATAAGATGGAGAGCAACTGAGGACACACGGAGCGCATGCTCCTACACAGGTGCACAAGCATGAAGGCACATAACACAGACATACACTGTCAAGAGTCAAGCATGGTGGGACATGCCTGTAATGCCAGAACCTAGGAGGCAGAGGCAGGAACAGTGAGTCTATAAGGAGAACTGTCTCAAAAAGGGAAAGCAAAACAAAAAAACATACCACTGTCAAGTCTGAGTGCTACTCTGCAAGGAAAGCTACAACTGACCCTTGTACTTTCAAGACTTCTCAAAGCCCTTAAATGGGCAGAAATCTCCAAAAGGGTCCCTTGCACTGATGAAGACAATAAGGTATAAAGAGACTTAGTGACCAACCCAAGCACAGAACACCAAACCTAGAACTATAACCTAGATCTCCTGATTCCCATGCCAAAGACTATTTGACGGCCCCAAAACTTTGTAATACCTGATTTAAAGGAAAATCCATTTTGGGAGACTCCATTTTCTACGAATGTAAATTAGAAACACTTTAGGTTGCTCTGATCCCATTCACCAGTCCACAAAGGGGGAGAAGGGGTAGGAAGGCAGGTAGCAAAGAGCTGTCACATAACAAGCCCAGCCACAAGTGGAACATCTGCAGATCTACATCACACTCCCTTCACCACAAGGATCAGGAACTCCTAAGAGAGCCAAAAGTCATGGAGGTCAGAGCAAAATAATGTCTCTACATGACAGGACCACCGCACTCAGGAACTCACAGCAGCTGGGGTTACCTGCACAAGACCCGCACAAGATCAAGTCTGTCAGCATTCCAACATGGAGGTGGGGAGCAGCTCATGAGCCCCACTGCTACCTGAGGAGCTATGGACAGCTGATGGCTTCTGGGAGAGGAAAAGTCAGTGTGTGGCCCCTGTTAGGTTTACTACATTCAAGTAAATGGCTCCAAATTCAGGAGTATACAGGGCAACACAAATTGCACTTGGTGGGTTATTTTGAGAAAGAACTCTAGGGTGAGGGCAGATTTAGGAAAAGTTAGGGGGAGGAGCTAGGTGAAAGAATGGGGGAGAGGGGAATGAATATAACCAAAATACATTGTATATGTGTATAAAATTCCCCCCAAAATATTATACAGAATATAATTAGAAGTTTAAAAAGCCCCCTCAAAGAAAACCAAGCATGTATTTACTACGTACATATTTTGACATCATTTCAAAGTTTGTATTTTGTGTATTGGGGGATGATGGTTGTTGCTACTGATAAAGTTTGACTTACTATGTAGTCTAGACTGGCCTTGACGAGCTGGAATTACAGGCATATGCTTCCATGCTTGCCTTCAAGTACTGTAATTCTTGACACTGTCTTCAAGAGGACCTGAGTTCAATTCCCAGCATCCACGGTGCTGGCTCACAACCACATGTAACTCTAGCTCCAGGGAATCCATGCTTCTGGCCTCTACATTCATAAATACAGACACACATAATCTTTTAAAATTAAAAAAAATAAATCTTTTATGAAATTGTAATTTTTGTTTGCTTTTTCAAGACAGCATTTCTCAGTAGCTATGGATCTAGTGCTAGAACTCGCTCTGTAGACCAGACTGGCCTTAAACCCAAGTGCTGGAATTAAAAGCGTGTGCCACCACCCAGCATAGAACCATAATTCTTTCCAAAAATATTTCATCTAGAAAATCAGAGATACTGGTTTTTTCTATTGGTACCTGGGTAGATTAGACCTAACCTAAGCTGTGAAGTCTAACAGAGCACAGCCCTGTCTGCCTGATGCACAGCTCCCACAGGAGCTACTCTGGGCACACCTGCCATGACAAACTAGCTGGCAGTCAGTGTCCCCACTCCTTGCAAATGACCACAATACCGTCTACTTTAAACATTCCTGAAAATTAAATTTGTAATCACCAACAATCGAGGACACATCCATAACCAAAAAAGTTTCACACACAAAATCACACTTATGAGCCTCAGGAGGCTGAGGAAGGAGAATAGTTGCATTTAGAGGTCAGCCTGGGCAACTCAGAAAAATCCTGTCTTAAAAACATTTTTTAATTAATATTTGGAAAGCACTTTATATGTTCCTTCATTAAACACACCTAATAACCCTGCAAATCAGACAGACAGGTATCATTACCCATGGTTTATAGATAAACTGAGGCTGGGAGAACCTGGGAGGCTGGGAGATGAAGATCTGGCTTTAAACTCAAGACTTGTGGGTTGAAATCCCCAAGTTTCAAATGTTTTTCCGATAAACGTCATCACCTGGTAACAGGGATAGAGGTGCTGCCCGACCATGGCAGTACTAAATGACTCTCAACTGCTGATAAACAAGGCCACATGGCCCAAAGTCCCAGACTCACACCCAGTGTGAAGCGCCACCTGCTCTGTGAACTAGAAGGAATTAAATCACAATTTGCTCCTGGAAAACTCAGGGCAACTGTCAGAACAGAAGCTAACATTATCAAGGAGTAAAGAGAATTCAAATTAGGAACAAGAATCTTTTATATCAAAAGACAGTTTTACTGAAATGGTATGTACTCACAATTAGTGCTAAACAGAAGAAAGATCGCCTTATTATGCTACATTTAAAGGAAGCTCCACTTTGGACAGTTACTTCTTCTGGGGCTTGTTACATAGCATCATGCTTCTGAACTTTAAGGCAAATACACCCAAGTCACGAATCTACTCTAGACTGAAACCCGGTATCACAATAAACAGCATTTGCACCACACCATGCTCTGCTGAGAACTGCAACTACACTATCAGAAGCCAAATCCAGCCTAGGTTATGGATTTGGGCTTTCACAACTCCAATCAATCCACTGGCTCTTACATTTAACTCTCATGAACCTGTCAATTAGATTCTCAATTACAACTTCCTCACAGCTATAGCGAAATCTCCTTTCATAGTAGAGTTTACTATAACAAAATAAACACATAGTTATTAAATCTCTCGAGTATGTAATGATATGAAGTCCTCTGCCATGGAAATTAAACAGCAATTATCTTTTCCGGAGTTTACAAGTAAGACTAGACAATTTGGGATGTGCTTATTTTTAGAAAATGCTTACTTTACTTCTTTTTAAAGGCAACTACTCTTACTCAAATCCACATACATACGGAGATGACACACCTGTCCCGCTTGTAAGATTGTTAGTTACTATTCTGCTTGATCGACTTCCTTACTTCTGGAGGACTTAGAAGTTTAGCTGGTTAAGTTAACAACTAAGAATTCCAGAGAGGTCCCATTAACTGGCACAAGTGAAATTAACAAAAGCAGAACTGCAAGCCCCAGCGCCAACCACCACCTACATTCCTGCACAGGTCACACACTCAACAGCATCAGCCCCATCTCTCATCAACTGGAGAAGACCGTCGACAAGCTTTCGCTTGGCAAACTGTCACACAGCAAAAAGCCAGGACGTAGGTGTCAGCTTCTCAGTCCAATTCCAAACACCACGGAGCCACTCAATTTAAGCGATTCCCATAGCAAATTACCCGGGGCATTCTGTTATTTACTAAAGTGCCAAGCAGTTCCCAGGGGTGCCCAGCAAATGATAATTTAGTTCCCAGGATAGGCTCCTCGCCACACGAGGATGACTTCCTTACTTGGTGCCAACTGTACACTTGCACACTCCGAAAACAGGGGGGCGAGTCCTGAATGCCAGGGGTTGCGAGGACAACGTTTGTGTTTTTATTATGGGCTCAGGAGAGTCGCCAATGCTGAAAAGCGCGACCTATAACCCTAGAGTCAATTTCCAACTGTGCTCTCACCCAGGATCATTCTATCCCAAACGGAAGCCAATTATTAGTTGTAACAAGGCCTGGAGGGGAGAGGAAAAATAGTGAGGTTTGAAGAAGAAAAAAAAAAGTTCACCTAAGAGACACGGGAAAGGTGGGGGCTTCGAGGGAGAAGGAGGTCAACACCAATGGTGCTGAAAGCCGAACTACAAAAGACCCTTTCTGCCCAGAGTGCAGGCAGAGCGAGGCACAGTCGGTCATTCGGACGGAGTGCGGGGGGCCGGGGTCACCCCCAAGGCCCGCAGCTTTGTCCGGGCGCTCCGCGGGGCCGGGCAGGGGTGTGCACCGTGGCCGGGCGCGGCCCCCGATCGCGGGCCCCTTTCTCGCGCGGCACCCGGGCACCAGGCCTCTTTCCCGACCGCTGTCCCCGCCGCCTCCCCTCCCCCTCTCCCCGACCCCGGCAACTTTGCCCCGGCCTCGCCTCACCTCTCAGCAGCACGCAGAAGCTGCAGGCCAGGAGGCTCCTAAGCACGGCCCCCATCTTCCCCGCTCGGCGCGCGCTCGCGGCCCTCACCGGCGACCGGCGGCCAGGGGACGCGCGAGCGAGGAGCCGGGGCGACCGCCGCAGCGGCGGGTCTGCACGCTCATGCTTTCCGCGGCCGGGAGAAGACCGAGAAGAAGAAAGAAAAGGGCGCACGTCAGGGCTCTAGCGCGCCGCTCCGGCCCGGGCTCGCGCGACGCCAGCGCCTGCCCCCATGCCGCCGCCTCCTCCCGCGGCGCCCCACGTCCCCCGCGCGGCGCCTCATTCAGCCTCTTCCTCTCGCTGCGGCGCAGGGATTCGCCGCGGGGCCGCTGCCGTCTCCCTGCGCGCCCGACCCCTCCTCGGCGCGCCGCCGCCGGAGCTCGGGAGCCGCCGCCACTGCGCGCGCCCACTCCCCGCGGAGTGTCCCCGCGAGATGGGCCTCGCGAACCCCGGCAGGCGGACGGGGAAAGGTCTTTCCGGGGCGCATTCCAATGGGATTCTTTCCCCGGGCGGCGGAGGGCGTGAGGCGACGTCGGCCGACACTGGGGCCGGCGTGGTCGGGACTACTTTCTGCGTCCCGGCCCGTCGCCGCCCGCGCCGCTCTTTGTGCGCCCGGCCGCGGAGCCAGGTGGAGCTGCGGTGCCCGGGCTGCGCGGTGCATAGGGACATAAAAAGTGCGAGTGCGGCTTGCACACTCTGGACTTGCACTCGCTGGGAGCGGTGAACCGGGTGGACGATGTGCAGAAGGCAACGCGAAGATTTCTAGTAGGCTGAATTGAGAATCGTCATATGAAGTGAAATAAGCCAGATCAGATTTAAGAAAAAACAAGTATGTTTTCTCTCAGTGTGCAGTCTTCTTTACATACACACATATATATAGTCACATATATGCGAGAAAGACCAAACTTGAAAAGACAAAAGATTGTGGGTCTTCGGTTTTATACACTTAGACGAGTATCTCTCATATGTGGACCTAGATTGTGTGTGTGTATCAAGATAGACGATGATGGATGGATGGATGGATGGATGGATGGATGGATGGATGGATGGATGGATGGATGGATAGATAGGTTTACACATACATGATAAGAAACGTATGACTATCTGGGGAAAAGTAAGGGGGGGAGAAAGGGGTGCGCATAGGGGTTAATACGTAAAAAGAAAATTACATGCTTGAATCGTATCCCTCGTTATGTATAATGAACATAAACCAAGAAAAAATAAAGGAAAACAGATTTCTTTTCCTTTCCATACCTTTTTCGTGCCTTTCCAGAAATACAGACTTGTTTGCAAACTAACCTGACAAGGACTTAAAGAGCGGCATGGATACCTAACAGCAAAGAGGCAATAAGACTGGGCTGGGCTGGAGCTTTACAAGTTGCATTGAATGAGTGTTTCTCTGCTTCAGAAAGAACGAAACCCCCAAAACAACTTCTACCACTACATGTGCAGTGGGTGTCCCTAAGTAATGGCCCAGGTGCCCTCTGCAACCACCTGGCCAGCTTCAACCTCGGCTGGGTGCTCCCAGAGTTAACCATAAAAGAATCAGCAGGTGTATCCAACCATCACACGCCCTTATCTGCAGGCAAACCGGAAAAGGGCTCACCCAGGGCTTGCAAGCACCGTTATCAGATGGGACCTTGTTTTCCTTTGCACACAGGAGAAAAATGAGACTTTGAGAAATTCGGGGACTTATCTGAGGCCACTCAAGTCCCCGGAGCAGGACCTGAACCCACCCAGGTTGGAGGGTTGTACGCGAGTTCTGGCAAACATTTGCAGGGATGCTGGTGAGGTGGCCCAGTAGGGCAGGCACCTGGGCCAAGCCTGACAGCCTGAGCTCAATCCCTAGGACCCACGTGGTGGAAGGAGAGATCTAATTCCTTCAAACTGTCCTCTGAGCTCCACATACATGTCTTGACCCTCACACTTTCCAGTACACACACACACACACACACACACACACACACACACACACACTTTTGTAAACAACAACGAAAAAGTTTACATATAGTTAAGTTTAAAATGCTTAAAGTGGAGAAGGAAAAAGAGTATGGCTTAGTGGTAGACTTAGGCAGGCAGTGGTGGCACACACCTTTAATCCCAGCACTAGAGAGGCAGAGACAGGCGAATGTGTGTGAGTTCAAGGCCAGCCTGGTCGACCGAGAAAGTTCCAGGACAGGCTCCAAAGCTACAGAGAAACCCTGTCTCAAAATAAAATAAATTTTAAAAAAAGACCCTAGGCTTCAGTCTTGTGCACTGGGGGAAGAAAGTAAAAACTTCAATTACACATATGTAAAATATGACTACATACAGTCTATACATGTGTGCATATGTGTACACGCTCATATTTGAGAAAAGACCAGAAATGATAACACAAAGTAAATATTAGGCTAGAGAGATGCATGCATATTTCTTCCCTTCCCTTTAATAGATTGTATTTTTACTACCGATTTTCTCAAGATACCCAAGTAAACTTCTGTAATGTAAGCTGTACCAAGGATGCTCTTCTTATTATAGAACTAATCTGTCACCCAGTCATTTTCATGCACATTAGACACGGTCCCTGGCATAAGTCTTGGTGATTTAACAATGAGAATAACCAACAGTCCCACACTCAAGCTAGCAACCTGATTTGTAGACACAAATGAGTTAAAGTGGTATACTTGTTGAATGTGGAAACTCCTAAGTCTGCCTAGGTAGTTCAAAGAAGGAGAAAAAACCAGAACCCTGGCCTGAAATGTCACTCAAGAGTCTGCTCAGCTGACCAGGCTGGCCAAGGCATCCCAAGCAGAAACAGAACAGGTGCAAAGGCACAGACTAATTGGAGCACCACATGGCATGCTGGAGATTTGAAAGTAGCTCCACCTTGCTAACCTATTGGGGCTTTTAAAGTATGTCAAGAAATGAGGCATAACCAGTACATAGGAATTGGGTTTATTAATAGAGAATGCTATATATTTATTTAGCAATGTGTTCATTCATTCATTCATTTGAGGGTTTGGGGGATTTTTTTTTTTTTTTGTGGTTTTTGGTTTTAGTTTTTGAGGGTTTTTTTTTTTTTTTTTTTTTTTTTTTTTTTTTTNNNNTTTTTTTTTTTTTTTGTGGGTTTTTTTTTTTTTTTTTTTTTTTTTTGTTATGTTTGGTTTGGTATTTGGTTTCTGGAGACAGGGTTTCTCTGTGTAGCCCTGACTGTCCTAGAATTCACTCTTTAGACCAGGCTGGCCTCAAGCTCAGAGACTGACCTGCCTCTTCCTCCTCTTCCTTCCAAGTGCTGGGACTATAAGAGCTAGTTCCAAGGCTGGACAGTGGTGGCACACACCTTTAATCCCAGCACTCGGGAGGCAGAGGCAGGCAGATCTCTGTGAGTTCTACAAGAGCTAGCTAGTTCCAGGACAGGAACCAAAAACTACGGAGAAACCCTGTCTCGAAAAAAAAAGAAAAAAAAAAAAAAGAGCTAGTTCCAGGACAGGCACCAAAGCTACAGAGAAACCTTGTCTCAAAAAAAAAAATTTTTATTTGAGGTTTTTGAGACAGGGTTTCATGTAACCAAGGATGGCCTCAAACTCCTCATAAAGCTAAATTATGACCTTGAACTCCTGATGCTCCTGCCTCCGTCTTCCAACTGTTGGGTTGACAGGGCTCTGTCACTTTGCCTGGTTAGTGCAAACCTTTGTAAGCCGAGTTTGGCTTGCAACCTGTTGATAATAAGGATGTGTTGTGCGATAATTGTGGTACCTTTTACTAATGCTGAAATTTCCTCTTTATAGGCAGAAAAATGAACATTGGCAAAGAGCTTGCAGTAATTTTTTTGGGAGAGATTAGCAACAAATATCCCAAAAGCAAGAGAATTCAGTTTATAATTCAGAGAACTAACTGGATCGTTCCTCATGTTGTATAGGGAACTCCAATTTCTAGAGCCCCTACATTCTATACTAACACAAAGAAATCAGAAAAGGCAAGTTGTAAGTCAGGAAATTGAAATAAAGTGGCTTAAAGCCCTAAATAATCTGTTCAAAAGTCAGAATTATATTCTATTCTCACGGTATTATTAGATTTTCCAGAACCTCTTAATATAGTTACTTACACTCAATTTGAAGACTTGTTTTACATATTGAAACTTCTGAATTTTATTCATGATGATTCAGAATTGACTTTGTTTATTCAATTACAAGAAATAATCATAAATAGAAATGATCCCTTATATATAACACTTATCAGATCCCATTCAGGTCTACCAGGCCCTCCAGCACAAAGCAATGATTAAATAGATCAACTATTGGTAAGAAGTGTACTAGAAGCCTCAGAGTTTCATAAGAAACACCATGTTAATAACAAGGGTTTGAAAAAAGATTTTTCTATCACTTGGCAACAAGGCAAGGAAATTATAAGGAAATATCATACTAGTTCTTTGTGTAATCAAACTTCACTACCCGCAGGAAATAACCCAAAGAAATGAAATTTGGCACATGGATGTGTTTCATTTTGCAGAGTTTGGGAAATTAAAATATGTATACCCTACCATTGATACATTTTCAGGATTTCAATGGGCAACTGCTTTGAGTTCTGAAAAGACTGATACTGTAATTACATATCTATTAGAAGTTATGGCCATCATGTGGATACCTGTACAAATTAAGACAGACAATGCTCCAGCATAAGTCTCTAGTAAAATGAAAAATTTTTTTGCACATTACAACATAAAGCATATTACAAGTGTACCACAAAATCCTATAGGGCCAGAAGTTATAGGAAGATCTAACCGAACTCCAAAAGATATGCTTAATAAACAGAAAAGGGTAATAAAGAAAGATTGCACAACAGTTTATTAGCTTTAAGTTTTCTAAATACTAATGAGAAAGAAATGACAGCTGTGGAGAGGCATTGGCTAGTAGAAAAAAACTGCTGAAATAAATCAGCCTGAATAATTTAAACGTGTGTTGACTTCAGAATGCAAACAGGATATGTGCTATGTTAGGGAAGAGGTTTTACTTTTGTTTCCACAGGATAAGAAAAGTTATGGATACCATCAAGATTGATAAAGATTAGATTCAAACAAGAGAGACTTCTTGATTAGATGAAGTGATAGTTTACCAGAGTTACCAACATTTCAACCTACACTAACTTATAAGATTAAAATATGTTTTTCATGTGATCAAATATAACTTATCATAACTTATCAAAATTAGGGTTAGGGAAGAGCTTTGTTTTTATCTTTCCAGGAGAATAAAGGCATCTAACTGAGAAATCTAAAGAGCA